GATAGCTGAAAATCGCCGAATACGTAAAACACTTCTAACTTTTATGCCTCTCACCAACAAACTGAAAATGCTAACCAGTTGAAACTGTGAACATATGTTCGAGATGAGTGTACCAACATAAAAAAAATCGCTAATCGAATGTAGGTAGCCCGCGAAATTTGAAAATTCGACTAATTTTTTGAACAGTCCACGTAAAGATGGAAAAGTAAAAAGCCAAACCTTTCTCTCCCAAATCTGAAGGTTTTCAAAACGTCAACATCAAGTATATTTGCTGACTATGTTGGCTCTTATAATGAAAAAACGAGTGATACTGAATTACTTCCCTGAGGTACTCCACTTATAGCCTCTGTATTTCACAAATGAGGAGTGATTAAACAAGATCGATTTGTAGATTTGAGAGTTTTGAATCGAAATCGATAAAAAATAAGATAATTTCAACTGTAAAGCCTAAATTTTTTTAACAAATACAAATATAGACGTTGATTTTAGTTCACCAAAATTCATTTTCATTATAAAAAAGTTCTGGTACACCTTATACAGATCTTTTTTTAGCTGATTCTACCTACGCATAATTTAACGTTGTTAAATTATATAAAAGTAAGTTAACTTACAAAATGAATATAGAGACACATCCTTAAAATTCAATAAGTAAAAAGTATGTATTATTTCATGATAAAAACTTCTGGTTCGTACTCCATTTTAATTATTTTTGTACTTTTAGCTACAAAATCATTAATATGAAAAAGTCTGTATTTAGTTTCACTTTACTTCAGTTCGTGTTAGGTATCAAATTTTAAAATTTAAACAATGAATGTTGATATATTCGGTAGAAGGAGGATACGTAGGGTGTACCTTAACGAATTTCAAGTTGCTAGAGCAGTGGCATTGATCGAAGTAGGGTATTCAAGGCGTCGTGTAGCCCAAATGCTTAATGTGGGTCATTCTGCGGTTTCCAGAGCTTGGAATCGATACCAAATTTACGGCATAGTAAAAAGAGCCCCTTATCCTAATCGGCAAAGAGCAACAACCCACAGAGAAGATCGTTTGTTACAACTTTGGGCAATTAGGGGTCGCATCGATTCTGCTGGAACACTGCAAAATCGCCTTATAAAAGCTACGGGAACGCGAATTTCGAACCAAACGATATGAAACCGACTTCACGAAGTACAACTCCATGCAAGACGACCTGCTAGAGCCCCTAGATTAACTCCAGCTCATCGAGGAAATCGTAGAAACGTTTGTCAAGAGCATTGTAATTGGAATTTATAGCAGTGGGCCAATGTAATGTTCACAGATGAAAAAAAATTCATATTATTCACCAATGACGGACGTGTTCGGATATGGAGACGTCCCGTGAACGCTATTTGGATGACTGTGCAAGAAATTGTTCCATTTGAAAGTGGATCGATAATGGTATGGGCTGATATAACACACGGACCTTGTGGTATTTCGGGAAGGGACTTTAACGGCTGTCCATTACATAGAGGAGATATTGAAACCTCATGCCGTCCCATTTGCCCAAAATATGGGCGCTGGGTTCATTTTAGAACAAGATAATGCCAGGCCACACGTAGCCAGGGTCGTAAGAAATTTCCTACAGGAGCACAATATTAATGTCATGAGATGGCCAGCTAATAGTCCGGATTCAAATCCTATTGGGAAGCTCTGGGATGAACTGGAAAGACGTTTGAAGGATCATCAACCCTTCCAAAATCTGAAACAAGTTGCAGATGCTCTTTTGACGATTTACGAGCAGTTACCAAAACAAATAATTAGAAATTTTATGACAAAATAATACATATTTTTTTACTTATTGCATTTTAAGGACATGTCTCTATATTCATTTTGAGTTGAGTAGTTTACATCTGCGACATCGACATATTTGAAGGTTTGTCGACTTACTGTTGCAAGGAGATTGCAGCTTCAATGTTCTGGATTTGTCCAGGATTGAACCAGGAGGAAAAATTGCTCCGTTTGTAGGCGTCGGTAATGGAGTCGATGGATATTTAGGAGGAGTTGTTGAAGGTGTCCTGAAGAGCGGCATGGCTGTCATTCTGTCCAAAAATGAATCTAGCTGCTTCAATGATAAAGCATTGTGCAGGGTCTCCAGGGGTCTAATTGATGGAACTCCACCAAATCCTTCAATAGCTAAAAATCATATTCACCATCCATTAATTCATCCTTCAAATTCGTCATTTCTCGAATGATATTTCTGATGCGACTGAGGCGATAAGTTATTTGAAAAAATTGATAGAAATAAATAAGTATATTTCTTTCCAAATTAGTTATGAACATTACAAGACACACAACACTTGTAATAAAATTCTTTTTGTTTGTACAGTTGACGTAAATAGTGTTTGAAAATTATACTCTTGCAGCACGGCCATTTTTATGCCTGAAATTTCGTCGACTGTCACAGATTTCAACTCATGAAATTATCTTATGAACAAAAGCGCTACCAACGTCCGATATTTCTTTTCTTTTTGATTCAATAAGGATGATATCCAAAGTAACGTGTAAATATCGTGATTTTCTCTCTGACTTTGGTAGCTTCCAGTAGGTCTAAGAACTATGACCCACCTTTGTGGAAAATATTTTAAAATAACTTGATCAACACCTAAACAATGCTTTGACACAAGAACGGTCATAATACTTTCGGCCATAACGTGAGTTGCTGTGACAAAACTCTTCAGAATTGGATAAAGAAACTAGGATTTAGATTTAAAATAATAAACAAACGTCAAGCAATTATGGAAAGCAGAAGAATTGTGAAATTGCGTAACAAATACTTAGAACAAATAACTAAATATAAACAAGAACAACGGCAATTTTCCATTTGGACGAAACTTGGTATGGCACTCACGACACAGTTACGAAAGGTTGGACTGATGGTTCGAGAATGTGTACGCCAAACACGCCTGCAAACAAAGGATCGCGACTAATCATTGTGCATTGCGGAGGAAGTAAAAGATGGGTTCCGAATTATTTGAATTTATGTGGAAAAAAACTTGAGGACTGCAATGATGATTATCATAAGAACATGGAAGCTAATATTTTCGAGGGATGGTTTAAAAACACATTGATCCCAAATTTGGATGCGAATAGTGTAATAGTTCTTGACAACGCTTCCTATCACTCGCGACAGCTCAACAAAGTACCGAATAAAAATTCGAGGAAAGATGAAATACAAAGTTTTTTTAATGAATAACAATTTGTATTTTGAAGATTACTATACCAAAAACCAACAACTTAAAGTTTTATAGACAAAAACTATATTATCAAAGGTGAGCTGTAGGTTGCACTATATCGTTTATGATTCCACTCATTTTTTTGATCGGCCAGAGAAGATTACGGTGGTAGTGCTGAGAGCTAGCTATGTTCGAAGAAAAGAGAAGCATTCTGTGTACATTGAAACCCAAAAACGTTGCAGAATATAAAGTTTATAAGAAAGCAAACAGTTCGAATCTTGAAAGTTCAAAACCGATACGATGGCCAATACTTGGCTACAATGCTATATATAGCTTCTTTCTAACACAGTTAATCTAACTGATTAACAAACTTGTTTCTGTGATTTTTTTTTTCGAATATACAACAACTTATATTATGCCCTGGAAATATAGTTTACTCAACAGTCAATTAGCCTATGGTAAACATAGTACTTCTTTCAATAAAGGGAAATAATCCCATTCTAAATAAACAAACCTAAATGGCTTGTCAGTCTTAGAGTATGAGGTCGTCACAAACGTCTATAAAATTGCACAAGAATTTAAAAATTCAAATCACTTCAAGTACCAATCGCATCACAAGTATACAGGATATTCCTAAATATTATGAAAATAATTAAAGGGGTGATTCTATGGATGATTTTGAGAAGGAAACACTTATAAACCCAAATCCTAAAAGACTTCATTAATGAAATATAATAGCTCAAACTATCAATTTTTTCTTAAATGTTCAAGTTCAAATTTGGCTCACAATCTTCTATTATCAATGTTCGTGAAATGAATATCAAAGAGTATTGCACGGGGTTTTACTTCTTTCAGATCCCGACCCTTTCAATCATCCCATTTTTTATGATATTACTGGTAATTTGTCCTTGAAAGCAGATAGCTAATTCTGTGTTTACACATTCCAAAATTGACTACTTGAACTGGCCGATACTTGATGAAAATCCATATTAAAACTTACTAATACAGTTTATTGTAAGATGATTTCATTCCTGCTTCAGGAAGCAATGAGTAAAACCTTTGTCGCGGAATTAGTTAAAACTTTTATGGCGAAAATCTTACATTAAACTGTATTAGTTATTAAGTTTCAAACATTCTTGTTTCTTGCTTTATTTCGATTTTTCACACCATTTAAAGATGGGGTAATAGCTCAACTGTTCAAAAATAAATATTACTGGAGTTTAATTCCAACACCAAACCGTTATTTTTAACACCTCGACACGTGTTTCAATCACCAAGTGATCATCTTCAAGAGGAGTTTAATCTTCCTCTTGAAGATGATCACTTGGTGATTGAAACAAGTGTCCAAGTGTTAAAAATAACGGGTTGGTGTTGGGACATAACTACAGTAATATTCATTACTACACCAATTGTTCCAAACAGTACATCACAAGGACTCTTTCAATATTTAACACCCTGTTATATCGAAAATGAAGCCCTTCAGGATATGATTTTATAGAATTTTTTTCTCAGAATCAAGTATATATAGAATCACCCTGTTGAATATTTACATGACCTATAGACATACCCTGTAATTATACATCAAAAATTGTATTAGATCAATAAAAAGGAGCAAAATTATCGTTACTCCACTCACCTGTCGCACTCGCCGTACTGGATATCATATCTCTCAAGTTCGGAGCGCTGGAACTACCGGATATGACCGCCGTGGAAAACAGCGAATTCGTACTACCTCCTACCAGCTTCTTCAAACCTAAAGGCCCTCCTCCGTACCCGAAACCTAGCATCTTGAAATAGCTCATCTGCCCAGCAATACTGTGTCGGTGGCGTTTGACGTTCTGGCTGCACTCTGCATTGGACATGCAAGGGGTCACACATGGGGTAGGGTGAGATAGTGAGCGAGACGTACTATGTCTCCTTGGGGGTGACGTAAAGAAAGAGAGTAGGCAGGGAATGGCGCGCCGATTACAAAGCAGGCAACTAGTCTCGGGAACATGCTCTGGATAGAAGCTGAGGGGAAGGTAAGGATACTCGGTGGGGGGCGAAAGATGGGCACTCGCGTCCTGCTCATGAACTAAACTATCGCTGTATTTCTTCAACAGGAAGTTTTTATCTGTGTAACCGATCCATTCTCCATCTAGAATGTTGGGATCAGAAAAAGACCTGTGCCTGGCTTCCTTGCCCGGCTTAGTCTTATCGTTCTCCTCTTTCACGTCGGTCTCGTAGTTGGCTTCCAGAGACACGTTGTCATTTTGACTGTCTAACGTACTTTGTCTTGAAACCTTGCAAGACCTACTGCTGAATTTGATATCTGACAGAGGTAGTTCATTCGTACTCATTGTACCAGAATGTTTCGTCTCTAGGTTGGAGGTGAACAACGCGAGGTTCAACTCGGTCAAAGGTAGTTCATTTGTAGAACTCTGAGGTCTACATTTACCACTGTTGCAAGTGTCTTCAGAATCTTGAATAAAAGACCGATTTAGAGTCTGCGTCTTGCCATCAGTCAGAGACGAATCAACATCACTAGGATACTCGAAATCAAGAGAACCTGATATAGGACTCAACTCAGGTTTTTCTGTCTCAGTCGAATCAAATATCGAATCAGACGTCTTTACGTCTAGAATGTGAGCGTTTTCGGTATCGGCAGAGGGTATGGTTTCAATAGGTGGCGTCAGGGGGGTATTAGTTGGTGTAACAGATGGATCAGAGTCTGGTGGTGATTCTTTGTTAGAATTAAATAAAAAGTTAATATAAATAAAGAGATGTATGGCAATTGTTAACATATACAGATGGGGATGGCCAGCAAAGGGTGGAGGAAGAAATAAAAGACGAAAAATTAGTTAATCTTACCATTCAGAATAATCAAACAATATTTAGAAGAAAATATGTGCTATTAAAGTTTTTTACAAAAGTCTCAAGTGACTTCTGGTAAATCATGAATATACATGAAAATAGATATTTTGAATACTTCATAATAGAATATCTTTCATTCTTAACGTACAAAAATTAAATAAGCTGTTTGTCTTCCCTCGAAAACTCATAGTCAGAGAAAATACCATCAATCAAGTTTGGAGGATATTCGAACAAAACTAATGAGAGGCAATTAGAATCAATATTATCACTGTAACCGTTGAAGAATGGTCTACAGGCTTTTTTTAGCTGATGCCACTATTGCTATCTCAGAAACGATTAGGCCTACAACGTCGGGTAAATTGGATAAAAGTTTCAAATTTTGAGAAACAAAGTAATCTCTTTTCAGATCTGGAATATCACTGGTTGTTTTTGAAATATTCGCAAAATTACGTTCTTGGGCTCTACCTCCTTCACTTTGAATGATGTAAAAAAAAGCCAGGGAACTAACTATCAATACTATTTCATATTAGTTATAATCTGATATAAATAAATTTGCAATGCGACGATTCATTCATTAGATTTCATCATCTTTTTTTTAATATGGACCTCTAGTTTTTTGTCATCAATTTTTGTAATCACTGTAAATACAAATTCAGATATGTATAACAATACAGATCCGTATTGAAAAACTAAAGTTTATAATGAAACGTTGCCCTGCAAATTTGTTTCATCAGATTACAACAAATATGAAACAGTATTGAAAGTTCCTTTATCTTTTTTGAATCTGAGGAAAAAAAACGAAATTTGACAGTTCCAGTTTTTGACGAATATTTCAAAAACAACCACTGACATTTTCGAGCTGAACGGAGATTATTCTACTTCGTCCAATTTAACCGGCCTTGTAGGTCTTACTGTTTCCAAGATAGCAACAGTGGGAGGATCAACTAAAAAAACGGCCTGTATATACTATCCAAATATTTTCTGTCATTCATTAATAATAGCTCTAGATAGTAAATTCAAATAATATTCAAAGCTATGACGGAAGCTATATATGTCGATATTATTAAAAGTTATCCATAACATTTAATTTAAAAAAAAAATCATAGTTTCAATTGCCCATAGAGCTATTATATTTACTTATGAGAAATAAACTGCAGTAAAATCAAATAACATGAAAAACAGCAGGTTTTTTATATACTGAATACTCGAAAAACCAGTAAGGCTAGTAAGCTGAAAATGTGGCAATAATTTTTCCAAAAATATATTGGGTGGTTGCAAGTGACCTCAACTTCCAGCAATGATACTTTATTTTTCATAAACTACATCTGACTATTTGATCTCCACACACTTTATTTAAAGAAATGTCCTGATATCTTTCTTTAAATAAAGTTTGTATAGATCAAATCGTAAGGTGTAGTTTATGAAATTACTATGAATATTCATCAAGTAATACAATAATTAGAAATTAGTGTATTCAAAACGAGCTCTAATTAAAAAACACTCAGAATGGGCTTTTCATTAAACACGAAACTTATAATAATTCATAGAAAGTTAAGAGGCCTGAGAACTTTAATTGAATACTTTGTTCATTTTGTAAAGAAAGTCCGATTTTCCAAAAAGAAGTGGAGACCTATGCAACCCACTAATATTTCATTTTGAACTATGTCAATCGATCATTAAAATAAAGGAATCGTTTTTTTATATCCAATCAAATCAACAACTCATTTTACTCATTAGTAATCATTTGATAACTACCAAATTCAAGAAAATATTACAATTTTATATTTCTAACGGTCCATTTATTCAATTTAAAAAAAATCAATTGTTCAAAATGAGATGTTGGAAAAAAATGTATAAAAAGTTCGTCTCAAAGTGGGAGCGACATGAATAACCCCACAACTCGCCTATGGGAAAAGTGGTTTCCATTAATTTGTCTGAATTTTTCATATGTTACATGGTTTGATATCCTGAACAGATGTCTCAATGGGTACAAAACCCAACTCAGACGATCCGAAGATAAGACCCTCCAATTCAATTATCAGTAGAACCAATACCACCCATTAAATTTACATCGACAGGCCTTAGCTTGGGACCAGTTGAGTTTTGGACTTGTGCTCACTGAGAAATTTGTTCAGGATGCCGAGACAGGGAACATTTGAAAGAATGCATGTATTCAAAAAAACAGTTTTGCGTTTTCGTAAAACTGTTTAGTGAAAACCTCACAATGAAGTTTTTCACGAATACAATTCAACGGAAACCGTTTTTTCCTTAGTTGTGTTGGTCGTTAAATGTGGAAATATAAATTACATAAAGTAAGGAACTATTGCTGTCTCAGTATGTAAGAGCTTACTGCTGTCTCAGTCTGTAAAGTTACTAAGTATGTGCCTATGTATACTCAAGATAGAATTTTCATTTCTCAGATTTACCTCCAATTAAATCGAAGCACATTCGTGGGATACTCAAAATCAACAGACCCTGATATAGGACTGACACAGGAAAAATAACATTATTAACAATGAGCAAATTTTCTGTTAAGATGACAGATTACTGATTTATAGTGGAAAATATATTACATTTCTAAAAGATTTCATTTGAAAATCAAACCAAAGAAAACCAATACATGCGATATTTAAAAAAAAACAGACAAAATACATTCAAAGCATGAGATGAAATGGAAAAAGATGTCTACCAAACTCTGCCCAAAAGCAATCCAAACATATATCAATTGATGGAACAGGGAAAGAAGCTGCAATATTCGAAGATCTACCAAACTCTAGACGTTTAGCGAGAAACGTGAGGGTTTGATACACCTTCGGGACAAATGGTCATACCAATTACACGGAGTTGCCAGACAGATGAGTTCAAATATAAATGTAACACCAACTTGACTTTGCTCATGCCAAGCCAAGCCCAAATCTCTACAGTGCACCATAAAACCTCTAGGAAAAATCTGTATTCGTGATTTTGTTTATTCCAACTATTGGAAAATTTACCATGTTACTATCATGTTAATAGGAAACAATTCTGCGTCAAGTATGGATTCACATAACTCAAAGAAAAGTATAAAATTAAAATAACTAATTTATAAGTTGCGAATCTCAATTGAAAAAACTTTTTAGGGGGATTAATATTTTATAAAACAGTTTTTACTACTTTTTAACTGACTCACAAAAAATAAAAACTGATTCTTTTTTTTTTGTATGGAATAACTACTCTACATTTTATAAGTAAAATACTCATACACAAACATCAATTGTTTTTTTTTACACCAAACATTTGAACGGATATCACTCCTAGTGAAAATTCTTCACAGCAGGAATCATTCTAATATTAGAACAGACAGATGATTTCTGGTAAAAAATGCCAAGTAAAAAATCAGGAAATAAAGAAAAAATTATTTTTCAAAATATTTTCTCCCAAATATATTTTTTTCAATAAATCTAATTCCTACAATCGACTAAATAGGATTGAAGTAATTTAAACTTAATGACAAATATTTTAAAGTATTCAAGAATTGGGTGAACCATCACTTCACTAAAAACTCTTAGTTCAATTCAACACAACACCAGAAATGGTATTTCAAATAACACATTTTCATTTATTTCATTTCTTGATGTTTTTTATGAATTGTATTTTAAGCAATATACAAGTTGAGAAATAAAATATGATTTGATAAAATATCCATATGAAGGTCTTTGTTATTCCAAACTCTTTTGACGATCTACACTACCTCATTTTTTTTCATATTTCAATCTTTTCATTATCAATATGTTGGTAACAAATTTTTAATAATACACTATTTCAGAGACATTGATAACATTTAGCGTAACCACTGTTTGATTTGGATTTATTCTTCAACTAAATCTTGATGGTTTAATCTCTGATAACGTTTCAAAATATACATTCTAAGAAAATAATATCGCTATATGGAGATTTTTGATAATTTCATTCAATAATGAAAAAAAAATTATTGCAGATAGATTCGTTTGAAACTTAAAAGTACTTATTTTCATTTCTATAGGGCGTTTGAGTTGGAAGTTACCGTTGGAGCTGCTCAAGATTAACTTCTCCATTCCATAAGCATAAACATTATCCGTTCTCAAAAAGAATAGGATTTAGTAAGAACTTTTATATTGTTTCAGCGAAATCTTTCATATTGCATTTTTTATGAAAAAGAAAAAATAACTACGAGTTTTTTTGTAGTTTGTAGTTATAGACACAGTGCATCAGATTTGAAAATAGTTCACCATTAATATTCGTGCCCTACTAATAGATATCAAAAAAACCAGTCGGTTTCAATTTAGAAAACAAAATAACTAATGATAATTTCAGAAATCAATTGCCTGCATGAACTTTACTCATGATACATTAATTGATAATTGGTGTTGAATTTTGAGTAATTAAAATGATAAATACCATATGTCTGTTCTTATTTGATACTTCAGGAATGAAGTATATTCCTAGAATAAGATTGAAGTAACAGTCAATACAAGTGTCCGTTAAGAAATACACAATTTTTAAATATGGGCAGGAAAATTTAATGTGAGAAGTTCAAAATGTTGAAAGTATGTGAATATTTTGAGATACCACCTAGGTAGGAATATTTGTTGGAATGTATCAAATAATTTTTAAATTTGTCAGGGCGACAGAATTGTGATTCCAAGTGGAAATGGGGTGATCAAATGGTAATCGGTGTTTGTCTCACGTGAGCCGTTCACTTTATACAGTTAATAAAAAGGTCAATATTTGGGTTGAACATTTAGAAAGCATACCTTGGCTGTTAACTGCATCCAAACTTTGGTGTAATTTGTCAGCTGCCCAAAACATATTAGACATTTTAAAAATCATGCTGTCCAAACAAAAATCACAAAAATATCTGCAAAGGAATGTTAAATTTCTTTAAAAAATAGTGCATCCTCGATTATGTTTTTGGGCACACCATTTTCTACCTTCCTAAGAATATGATAAGTGTTTGAGATGCCCATTCCACCAAACTCTGCTCATATAATAATATAATATCAATAACAACGAATCAAATGAACATTAGACAGTTTAGTATATAATATTCTTTATTTATGAAAACAGAACCAATATTACAGCAATTTTTGTGTTTATTTTGATACGAGAAATCTTTACATCAGGTGGGCTCAGGTATATTCCACTTTTTTTCGAAATTTTCTCTTGTGACATAAAGAGAAAAAAGCTTCTTGTACTTGATGTAGCATCTCTTTGTGAAATATTCTATAAAAAATGAAAATACTGTCAAAATTTGGACCACATATTTCCCCAAATGGCCACTGTACGTCCAAAAATACTACCATCTTTAAGCCTCATTAACTGAAAAGAATCTTTTCATTTGGCTACAGATTCAAGAATTCAGAAGTGCTATCTAGTGGAATGGACACCTTAAAAATTGTATCTACTTGAACTCTGTAGCAATGATAAAACATAAGAAAATATATTAACAACTAGTTATATCTAGTTTCCTATTTGAATATAGAAAATTTATTCAAAACTGAAAAGAGGCTGAAAATGAGCAGAATTTGAGATTTGAAAACTCGCAATATTTGAAAAATTAACATTTTGCAAGCAGGTGTATTTGTGATTTTGTTTGTGGGAATTTCACAATCAGAAAAAGTTATTGAACATCCACTCACCCTTTCCCTTTTGGGGGCTCTGGTGATCATAACTTCTAGCACGCGGTTCAGTATCAGGGCTGGCTGACCGATTCAAACTGAAATTCCGACTATTCTGCTGTGCTGCCTGGTTGGCCAATTCCTCATTGAGTCTTTTTGCCAGGTGCATGGCTTCGTGTCCAGAAACGGTGTGGGAACTTCTGAAATTTCAATTTTGAATGAAAATATATGGAAGGGAAAAGGTAAGACTGGTTTCATACATTACAGAAACTTCATTTTACTTCAATTGATATTATAAAGGGTAAAATAGGATTTGCAAAAGTTGAATGAAAAATATTAAATGTGAAAGAAGTAACAAAATAATACAATTGTCTGGAAAACAGTTCCTTTTTTTCTTCTAAAACTTAGGATTGAGTTTGAGAAGAGAAAATATGTTCCAAAAACATTTCAAAGTTACTGTGTATGAAGGAATCTTCAATGAACTCAAAAATGGTTAGCATTTGTATATCTTAGGAACATCTTATGAATATAAAGACTACCTTGATGTTCCACTATTTCTAAGATGCCAAAGCTTTAAAAAAATATAAGTTTTTTGGGTTGATTATCAAACACTTCAGCTGCTGAAAATTTCATTTCATAGACTGAAAGTTACTTCTTTGATGATCTACACATCCATGTATAGAGTTACTTAATTTCAAATTGATTACTTCCTTCCTTTCTTTGGAAGATTCCCTCACCTATTTTTTGTATCAAGATGGAGTAGTAGAAAGCCAAAAACTTTCTTTCCCAAAAATTAATCACTCCTAAAAATATAACCCCTTCAATTCAAATAAACTTTGTCTTTTACACTAAGTAATTTGGACGAATCATTAAAAGTTATCACGATGAGATTAAATTGACGCAACGCAGTGAGCCATTACCCGTCGCGTCTACTGTAAGACGACGAGGGACGATGCGCGGGAGTAGAAGGGCGGTCTAAGCAATGAAGCGTCATTGCCGAGTACGTGACCCAAACGCGAGCAGACATGTGAGGGCAGACGTCCTTGATGGTTGTATTAATTTTGCCAATTTCTTTATAGGTAACATCATTCGATTCTCGAAGCTATTCATTACTTAGTGCAGTTGGCATATTTTTTAGTTACTGTATTTTCAAAGTAAAAATATAAATTACTAGCTGTTGCACGCTCTTATAATAATAACGTACAGTCGAAGCTACTGAACCTAGAATCTTGAAATATGCAGCGTAAATAAGCATCAAGAAAGGGAATCAGGAATTTACACCCCCAAGGGAAAAATAGGAGTTCAAATATTGTATTGAAGTTCATCAGTTTTGAAGTTGGAAACCTGAAGTTTTGGGTTGATAAAAAAATATTGTAACATTTTGTTTAAAATGGTCTGTCACGAAACTTAATGTGACAAACCAAATTCTACGCGGGCGAAGCCGCGGGCAACAACTTATCCTACATAATTGCTGATCTCATTTCCATTATATAGAGAATTTTTATGTAATATTTGTTAATGAGTGGGTTTTTAAACCATTACTGGATTATTAAATGACAATGTGTTTATGATCACTTGACAAAACTCTGTTGTATCGGCTAGAGGCTACTACTGAGAAATATTTGTTTACTTGAGTTAGAAATAAAAATGAAAATAAACATATAGGATAAACACTTTTGAATATTTTACTCACATCATTACTAGACATCAATTACCAAGGTAACATATATATATCAATCTTACGGAAAAACCATTTGAATAAACTATCGCATAGCAGATGTCTCAAAAAAACTCACCCAATAGGAATTGGATCACTAAATTTGATATTTTGTCTGCTATAACATGGATCAGGAGTTGCTGGAGAAGGTATACCATTATTACTAGGTGGAGATTCTAAAACTCTAGGAGGATTTAATATATATTTCTCTTCTTCTAAAGATATTTCTGCTTCTTCGTCAATCCTTGGCGAACATTGGCTCTTAAGATCATCAGGAGTTGCAGTTGCGGATGTGTTCAAGCTCTAAAATAAGCAAACTGAATAGAATGAAAGAACTAAATTCATATTCTTACAGAATTCTTGCTGGCGGCAGACTCGTTCCTAGAATGAGGCCTAAAGCCCGGACCGGGGGGTAGATTTTTCTGAACGCAACAGTTAACACCAGGACTGAAGTGCAATTCTATGTGGAACCGTTCTTCGCTACTTGGATCTTTGGTGGGATCCTCATACAGCATTATGACGATTTGAGACATGTAATTAAGTTCGGATACCGTAGAAACGTACTCCATCGCTCTTCGCCACTGTTCGTCTCTTTTAACCTGGACAAAATATAAATTAATCATATACCCAGAAGCTACTTCTGCAGTTTGCTCACATCCAACAAGCCTCCATGTCGAAGAACAGTGATCAGAGAATGAATGTGGCTTTCGCTTGTGAAATATAGACGAGTCCTAACATGTCTTCCAGGGCTCGAGACTCCGTGTGAGTATCTGGGATTCAATCGATTGACGGTTTCCTCTCCGGATTCTTCTATGTTCCTCTGCAAGTCTGCTTTTATTTTCTTCAGAAGGGGTGTGCAAATGCCTTGGCCAATTGTTAATTTCTCTTGAGAAGTGAGACCATATTCCTTTTTCCATAAAGAGAATAATAAAAAAAAGAGTATGAAGTATAACAAAAGCCATGGGAGATTTAGTTTCTACTTGAACAATACAATTTTTAAAATATNAAACCAGATTGGTATTCACGCAGACATAAGAGTATATCTGACTATAGGCTGTCTTTTCAACAATTTTTGAAATTGCCGATAATATATTTATGGGCCTCAAATCATTTGGTGTCAAAGTTTTAGAAATTTTGTTTATAGAAAAAATAATAGATTGTTTCCATAGTTCCGTTAAGATACTACTAGGCATTTGTTGACTAAATTTGTTAAAACTAAAGTTAGGTAAGGGATACAGATTTTAATAATTTTTATAGAATCTTATCTGATCCGATAGCATTTGTTTTTATGGAGTTGACAATCGTGTTAGTATCATCCTTATTGATTTGATGGAATTTTAAAGTCAAATTTTCTTGAAATTGCGTGTTCAAGAAATATACAACATTTTTCAAACCGATTATTTAATGTCGCTATTTGTGAAAACAAAAGTCCGTAAAAAATGGTTAGTTAGCAATTGTTTTGAAAATTTGTTGTTTCTCCAACGAGACATCACTTGAAATGATCAGATAACACCATAATTCATATTTCTTACTGAAAAACATATATTTTGTGTAGAATACTGTCATGCAGAGCCCTATTTTCGGCATTAAATTAAAATCATAAATAAGGGAGGCAGAGTTCTCGGCGTTGTGACTTTTTTACAGTAGAATTTTTTTCTTTCAGAATCTTTCATTTAAAAAGTATGAATAGTATTTAATTATTAACGAAAAACTAAATGTCTTTTTCATCTTAATTTGTTAATAACAATTGCAATTTTTTGTGAAATAATGTAAAATCATTGAAATACATTTTTCTACATGTCATTCTGAATTCAATGAGCTGTTTCTCACATTTTTGGGAGCCATAGGTCATTTTAGAAATAAATACCTGAGGGATAACAATATCTGCTAGATATTTAGCGTAAGTATACAATTCTTCTGCCTGTTCAAACTGCAATGTATGCTGGTTATGCTGCAAGTCGTACTTGATACAATCGTATATGTCCGGTATTTTGCTAATATCATAATTTTTATTTTTAGTATAGAAGTCCTTCTCAATCTTTCCCCATCTTCGGCCCATCAGCTCCCACGTTTCTCCGTGATACAATAATGCTTCTACAAGGGTGCGTATAATTAAAACGGGCACATTTCAAGATTGTCAATTTTCACAAACGTTTTTCAAACGTATGTTAGAATTAAAAAATATTTGTGAAAATTGTGTTATTAATTTTCATCAAGTAACGAGTCAGTCCATTCATGACACTCACCTTTCGTCTTAAGATCCTCTTTCTTTATTTGTACAATTTCCATTAGATTTTTTATCAATTCGTGGACATGTTTGCAGCATCTCACGGGGTTTTTTACGAATTCTATCGCCTCTGCTATGCTTGAAGAATTACAAGGATTGATTTTTTCCTTATCTTCTTGGGTAAAATCACGATCCATTTTCATCAGTTCGTGTAAACGAGCCTTACACCTAGAAATAAATTTGCCAATGAAAATAGTTTAGGAACTTTCATTTATGTATTCATATTTGCCAAGAATAGATACAAAAAAGCTCAATACTATCAAGTTGTTGAAATGATGACACCCTGTCATATAAATAAAAACATAATGTTACCAGGAGCATTGTGAATTAGTGCTTTGCCACATACTTAACAGATATACATTGGCGGGAGAAATATGTTTCAGATATATGAGGCTTCAAAGTTCGATTTTGTGGTTACCCATAAAAGAACATGTAACTTCATGTATCCTACAGTGATGATACAATAGATAACAAACATATTGACAAAAATTAGGCATAAAATATAGAATATAAAAAGCTCACGTAACAAATTGATTACATTATTCAAAGGATCTATCTTAAGTATAACTTCAATAACACTTTATAATGATTTCACTTATACCATTAGTTTACTTCACTAGCGATCGCTGCCGCCAATTCACTAAAAATGCTCGGTTCGGCAACCCCAACATTTTTTGTATTCGAATGTTATGCTCTTTGTATAACCTCTCAACAAATCAGCAAAAGTATACTCAGGTAATCATTTTTGTAAGCTTTCACTCTAACTTGAAATATGACAACATGCACTACAGAATCTCTTCCAAAGATTCCGAGTATCCATCTAACAAAAATGAGTGCTTTATATTAAGGCAAAACATGTTCAATCCACTCACTTAAGCTAAGAATAATAACAGAGGTTGATATACTTTGTACAAGTTAGTATTCCCATATTAATTTTATTTATATATTTGCAAATGTATTTCTTCAATTGTAACTATATTTTTATTGGAAATGAGGAGTCATTATTATTATTTGAAAAAGTATTTTGCAACCTTGTTTCTTTAACAATGACATAATCCCTATGTCTAAAGAGTTTTTTGTTCTCTATTTCAATAATTCTAATTTAGGAAAAATAATTGAAATGGTACGCTAACTTGTTTGGAGAAATGAGCGTCGAAAAGAGTATTGCACTTCTGTTGATTGGGAAAAGTGCTCGTTGTTGATTTACTCTACGCCAGGGATTCCAGTTTTACATTTTATAAATTCCACGGTTGTCATGTTGGCTTTCGCATTAACCGTTTCACATTCCAATCTGTAAGCAGGTTGGTTGGCTTAGTCAGATTACCTGAAGGGTATCATCTTCTCAAGGCCTTCGAGTATGTCCCATCAGCTACTGTTGACAAAGCAAGAACAATACAAAGATTGAGGAGACCCGTCCAACATTTTCCTTTCCAATAGACAGAAATATTTTTTAATCAACGGAACTATTTCCAAAACAAGATAATGTCGAATATGTGCCTCAGGGTTCCACCTTAGGACAATTATTGTTCACTATTTTTATCAAGACATATTCCACTTCCACTTGCTAGATACGTGTATTGCTTTTGCTAAAGACACTTTTCAATCAATTAGTTTCAGAGGTACAAGACACTTGAAACACTCACGACTTCCACAGAATCTAGAGCATAACTCTGATTCACAACAAATCTATTCAAAATCAGTAGAGACTAAACACAAACCACCACTTTTGATGCTTACAAAAAGTACACTAATGGGTCAACTGCTAAACTGTTAGGAATAGAACTAAATGACGATTTCAAGTTAAATAGCCTTATGGTCTGTGTAATATTATATTTGTTACAAAAACTGCAAAAAATTGTTAGTACGTACTGATGTGAAGCTTACACACATATGCTACGAAATCCTGCTGTGGAGTAACTCCAAGTCAGGCTAGCATATTTTATGATTTTGACTGTACAAAAAACTAAAGTACGGATTGAACTGCATCCAATGTTGAAGAAGAATTGAAAAGTATGGCTACACAAAGGCTTCAATCTGCCTAGTCTTCAAGTTGGTCGGTAGCCGATCGGTTCGACATGGGTTCTTTGTTCACTCACTCGAATTGATCGCCGTGTTGGTCGGTGGTTCAAGCCCCAGGCTGAAAGATCGATTTTCACTTGCTATCGTCCAACCCGTGTTAGGAATCACACGTTAAAAGGTAAGACCTCGTTAACCCTTAGCTCGCACAAGTTTCGACTTCTAAGGGTTGTCGTTCGTAGGGGTGCGACAGCTGGTTAACGGAAAAACAGATTTTAAAACAGATTTTTTTTTATAATAATAATGAAATGATGCTACCTCCAATCTCAAGAACATGTCAGATTGCCGCACGAAGGCAGAAATCTTGGGTGGACAAATGCAAAAGACTGTCATTCTTGACTCGTTGCTACTGCCTAGGGCACAATATTCTCGTGCCCAATGATCACTTACCCCACGGTGGTGGAGAGTGATATTTGGTGCGCCCTCCAGACTGTGTCGGAGCCAAGTGGACAGTGCCTGACTAGCTTACCTTTTGGGGAAAATATAATAACAAAAATAATAGCATTTATTGCCCGACAGATGGTACAATCCCATTACAGAGAAATATTTGAATAACAAATGTTGAAGGAAAAGAAAAATAATGCTACTTCAAAAATATATAACTACAAGTACAGTGGAAGACAAATAACTGAAATATTACAGATTTTGCATTACAAGAGTTACAGATTGTGCTGATTGGTGATTTCATAAGAACGTTGGTTCATGGTCAGGAATTATAGAAAGTTAGTTTCTGCCCGCGAATTGCTGCACCTTGAAATTTAGTTGGCCTCGTAGATCAGGACAGTCAATTTATGAACCAGTTTATGGAGGTATGAAACAGACGATAAGTATTTTCTAAACTCCAAGCTTTCAACATTGAATCTGTCCATTATCAACTGATAATCTGTTCCCCACTGTGGATATATGTCCTCAACTTTGAAAGCCAAATATCTGAGGAACTTTTTCTGCATGTTTTCGATCCTATCTCAGTGTATGAAGCATAGTGAGGACTTTGACCTAAGATATAGTCTTGAAGACAACAATGTTGGTAAAATTTCTGCAATTGTGCACTATAAAACCATACATCCTGGATGCCTCTGAAAGCTCAAGATCAATGTGAAGTTCAGATTCAAAGACGACCCCCAGATCTTTTATGGAAGTGTCGCGTAATACGGCAGTTCAATTCAGATTATATGAAAATTCAAAGAATATGTTTTCTTTGAATTTGTTACAGTTTGACATTTAGATACATACAGTGATACATCATTTGCCAAGCGCCAACTTTGTAACACATTCAGGTTACTTTGAAGTTGAGCAAAATCGGTTAAGGGTGATATTGGTAGTTAAAGTTTTAAATCATCTGCATATTGATAGAAACAAAATGGCTGACAATGAAGATGTATAGTCGGACAGCTCTGAAAAAGCGGAGATTGAACACTTTATGAAGTGCTGTGAGAACAAAAAAAGTGGAGTAAAAGTTTGTATAAACTGTTTTCCGATTTATCATAAAAGTTGTGCGAAAAGGAACCAACAATTGAAGGTATTATCGGAAAACAAAGTGATATGTTGTGAAAAAACCGAGAACATACAAAATCAAAAGTGAAGCAACGAGAGTGAAAAAGAAATGCTGCCGCTAGAAATCAGGTATTTGAAAGAATTACTAGAAGAAACAAGAGACAAAAACAATATATTGAACATCAATAACAATTTATTGCCAGATAAGTGGCGATATATGAAAAGAATAATAGAAGAAATCATAAACCAGAGGAGAGTAATAAATGCGCAAAAAACGTAAACATAAACAATTGGCATGCCAGACAAGGAACGTCACATGAAATTAACCCAGATACAGAAAGCTGGAATAAAATAAACTCAACATCAATGCAAAGTCCTAATGTCCCACGAAGTGATTTAGTACCTCGCGAGCAGATAACGCACCTAAAAAATACCACGAAAGCCAACCTATGGACATATTGCCGCCAAAATAAGTGTAAACAATAACAATCCAATCAGTGGACCCATAACCTATTATAATCCAAACGACAACAATGATAATTTTGTGGAAGTCAAATATCGAAAACAAAACAAACAAAATGGAGTATACAAAAAGAATATTGGCACAGGTCCTAGCGATGATATTTCCGAGTTCTCAGGACCAGAGCGAAAAGTATGGCTTTATTTATACAGAGTGAAGAGGGCTGCAACAGAAGAAAAGATAAAAGACTATATTACCAATAAACCAGGTTATAATAATGAAGTAAATGTGAAAGAGATTTCAACCACAGAAGATCGACTACGAAGATATGTAGTGACAGCACCACTATCGAAAAAGGATGAAATGTACAAACCGGACTTCTGGCCAAGCGGAGTAGGTATTAGAAGATTTCATTTCGCAAAACACAAAGATTTTCTGAACCAACTAGGTGGAGATTTTTTTTAGAAAATGAAACACAGGAGGCCTGGCAGAGCAATGTTCTGTTGAATATTAGGGTTACCTATTTTGAAATAAAGATCTATCTATCTATCTATCTGGAACCGTATGATTCAAAAGAATATTTGGAAGTGAATCACTAAAACAATTGTTTTTTATTTTGGACGTCTTTTCTTTCAATGTTTGTATGTACCATTGTTGTATATATAATTGTTTATATGTAATAAAGAATATTATATATTGTAACCTTCTAGTACATAAATCATTAACGAAATCATTCAAAAACTCACTAAGGCCCTAGATTGGATCCTTAAGCGACTCTACATGAACCAAAACGGCTCAGCTTTTCCAGGAAAATTCCACGAACTATCCTATCAAAATCAACACAGATTACATCTATCTGACCTCCTGAATTAAGAGTATTGGAGAAATTTGGGTAATGAGATTAGATTCCGTAGAACTTTGACTCATAAAACCATGTTCTGATGGAGTTGTCAATCAAATATACTTCATTGTCAAAAGATAAACGCTTCTTATAGACAAAGTCTCAAAGACAAAACCAATAAATGTGGGTTTGTTAGAATAGACCAACTTTCAAGATTCAAAATAATCATTCAGATACTCCTGAACTATATAATAGGCCCAGTCAACAAGTAACATTTCAACTACCTTTCTAAATCTGTTGAGCACTCTTTATTTCCTAGGTATGAGCTGGCAAAAATTGAATTACCATTAAATGGTTTGGTAACATATTCTATTGTTGTATCTCGGTAGATTGCAAGAAATTATTCACTTACATATTTTGATACTTGCTACTATCACAGTCATTATCCAGAAGTCCGTTGGTGTTTGCACTTTTAACCATCTGTACTAAAATAGGAGTCAACTCGCCTTCTAAAGCAAGAAGACCTTTGGCAAAAGCCGCTGCTGTCATTTGTACTCGCCCTTCATCAGAAGCATATATTTTCAAGTCATGGCGAAACGTCGAATGTAACCTCAGAAGTCCTAAACCTTGGGCTCCTGCGTATTCACCTGAAGAAAAACCATTTGAGGGTGCAGGGTGGTGAATAACAATATAAATTATAACAAACATATTAGTAAACGGATACCGGTTGGTTAGAAACAAACACAACAAGACATTTGCTAGCAGAACGAGTAATGAATGAATCGTTTCATTTCTAAATAACATTTCTCAAATGAACTGACAATCCTTTTATCCACATGTGCCAAACTAACTACAATCTACAACTAACATCAATCAGCAAAATGAAAAATACAGTGCTCGAACCAATAAGGGCTTAAGAAGCACAATACCAACCGGCCAGATGTCTACCTTGTCCGCCAGGGTACATGCAGCGGAATATCCTTCCCAACTCTTCAGCCTGAATTCTGCCGGCAGGCGTTAGTTCCCCTCCCCACTTCAAAATCAGCACCAAAGAAGGTTCGGCTGGCTTATCTACTAAAACAAAACAAATTTCACAGAATTTCCATCGTCGTTAACTAAATTTCATTACATTCAAACTCAAAAGGTATAAATGTATCAAAATATCCTTCAAGGCAAATAATCAAAGGTAGTATTTCTTTCATATGAAAGATGTCACTCTCTTCTCTCAGACAATGAAGCTTCCTAGGTGGGTCGGACAGTTATCAACAGAATCTTTTGAACAACTTATACTTTAAAAATAATGTATTTTTAATTTCCATTTTGAACTTTGATTCAGTAGGCCAATATTTATTTGTCACATGATCGTTTTGACATCACATATTCCAAAACTTTGGTAAAGTAATAAAACAATATAAATTTAGAAGTGAATTTAGATTTACAAGTGTCAAAAGTATTATATCTGAAACACAAGAAAAGTCATTACTTTACATTCATTCCACCTAAACAAAATAATTATTAAAATTGACTTTTAGGTAGTTTTCCATCATGGTCAGGTCTTTTTTTTATGAGTTTCGCCAATGCCAGTGTTAGGTTGTCTAGGAATTATCCATGTTCTACTCATATGCCTACTTTCTAATGAATGAATCTACCTGAAAAGGTCAGGTATGAATTCAATAACTATATGAATACATTTTTTGAAAGTACGGTAATATGTTTATTGTTTAAGAATAAAATTCTTGTTACAAACACAATGTCATAAATAAATATCAATATAAACATGAAGTATAAGATGTAAAGTATAAGTGCATAAAATATAAATGATTAAAATAAAATATCAAGTATATATACATACATATGCAGAGGTTACATGACAAGAACTAGGACAACGAATAAAAAAATATGTTTCAAACACAGTACAATCGCAGTTTCATCACATTCTAAATTACAGGGCATCGTCAAAATATTCTTGTAGGACATGAACAGATTCAATAATTGGCGTATTATTCAATTCAGTTTGATCATTCATGAGATATTGAGAGTTTTTAAAGCTTGGCTGTATAACTTTTTTGATAATAAAAAATGTTATAAGACTGCTAACATAATCATTGCTGACTGCTATTTGCTTTATTATACTCAGCTCAGAGGCGAATTTCAATAAATAATTTATATTTGCTTATATTTGTTAATTTAATGTTCCATATAAACGTTTTCATTTACTAGACTTTACCAATTAGATGTTCAGATCTTGGGTAATAAAGCATATCTTGATTTGATTTGAACGAACAAACAATTGACTAAGTTCTCGATTTTCATTAATTCTCTCCCCCCCCCCCCGTATCAGCACAAAGTAGCAGCATTCAACAGTATGATCCACAGACTGATAAATGTTCCCTTGTCAGATGCGAATTTCAATAAAGAACTGAACATAATAAAACAAATAGCCGTCAACAGTGATTACAATAGCAGTCTAATACATTTTCTATTATCAAAAAAGTTATACAACCAAGCTTTGAAGGAAGTTTACCCAATCGAAGAGATGAGGATAAAAGTTATAGAACCTTAACCTAGTTAGACCAATCCACTATGAATATTTCAAATTTTCTGCAAAACAAAGGGGTAAATATTGCTTTCAAAACCAACAACAACTAAGTCATGCACATTAAGAACAGATAACTGTTCAGTTTCAGAAAAATCGGGAGTGTATAAATTATCATGTGGGTCATGTCCGATGTTTTATGTATGTTAAACTGGAAAAATGTTCAAAGCCCGCATAAAGGAACACAAAAATAGTCTCCAGAATGGGAAAATAAATTCCACATATGCTACTCATTTAATCACAGAGGGGCATGAGTTCAACCATGAATACAAGCCCCTCTATTTCCAGAAGAAACGTTTGAAACTTAACCTGTTGGAGAATATGGAAATAAAAAAATAAAAAAACTCCCAATATCTCATGAACGATCAAACTGAATTGAATAATTCGCCATTATTGAATCTGTTCATTTCCAGGTAAAAATAGTTAAGTGCATTTATGGTATTTTCGAAAAATGTATGCTGATCTTTACAGGTAGATTCGTTATTAGGTAGACGAGTAGGTACTCGGTTAGAGTATAAAATGGTTGTAATTTAGAAGTAACTTTTAGTTTACGCTCGAGGAAGCAAAACATGTGTCGAGGTTTTTGTAAAACCTCTTATAGTGAAAATTTTTTGCCAAAAAATTATCCTATCAAATTTGTCTATTTCTAGTCATGTGTGTCGAAATAACCAATGAAACCATCATTACACTGATAACTACCCATGGATAGTTTTCACGGGTAGTTATCACTTATGTCATGACATTGCTAAGCAACCAACACAATAAAGTTGTTTGACATTTCAGTAATTCAATTTATTTCGAAAATGTCACTTCCTCGCTTTGGTGTTCAAAATGATGCGGCAATTGACAAAATCATTGAAGAAAATACACCAAAAAATACTGTCAATAGTAAAAAATACACTTGGAAAATATTTATGGAGTTATATCATTATACGAATTGTTCTTTTAATAACTGTGTGTTCAATAAATAATTTTGTTCGAATTGCGAAAAATTTTCTCACCGAATATCCCTTGAACATTGATAAATAACTCATAATTTTATCACAACTTCCTCAAGCACGTTATTTTAGGTAACATCCCGACGCCGAAGGCTTTCGAAAACTGTGATAAAATTATTTCGTTAGTTATCAATGTCCTTGGGATATTATAGCTGAAAATCATACAATAAACTGTGCTAATTAGTTTTAATATGGATTTTAATGACGTATCGGCCAGTTCTATTCAATTATAGGAAATTTTTCAAGAAAATTAATACTGCTAAACCTTTCAATAAATTTGGACTATACATGATAATTATTATCATGGGTAGTGTTATTAATTTTCAACCAATTAATGGGTCAGTGTATTCATAATAAATGTAGAATTGCCTTTAGTATAATATGCCCACATGTCCACATTATCTATTTGGGTTGCCTGAAATCAGCATTGAACAACCTACAAGTTGCGTTTCCACACTGATGAGTATTATAAAAATGAGAAACCGTCTACGTAATCCTTTAAATGAATACTCACATCGGACCACAAATATAAAACCTTTCAGAAAAAGGTTACAATAGTAGAAGACTAAATTCGCCATGAATGTCAAATTTTGATCATTGGCATTACTCTAGCTGACCTTTTGGTAATTTCCAACAAATAACTTTTATTACTATTTGGAATCTCTTTCAGAACTTTGTTCATAGTTGACATTCATGGTTTGAGTCATCTGTCTGTCTCATAGATGGTGTCTTTTGTCAGGTTTGTTCTTTGAGCACAGTTGAGTCCTACGATACTTTTGTGGTTCAGCCTAGTACCACTAATGACATCTACGCCAAGCGCAGGTATTGTATAACAGATGGGCTCGATAACATCAGGTTTGAATTTCAAATATAGGATATAGTTAGTCTAAAAATTATTTTTAGTCGAATGGAATTATTGAAATGAAAATATCTCAATTTTTATAAAGCAATACTTTCAATCTGTTTTGAAGACATCAACATTCGGAAAAGATTTAATAGATGCATCTAGAGAGTTGAACCCTTCAAAGAAATAACAATAGTGAGAAAGTAAAATCGCCACTTACCATCATCAGAACTTGAGCCCCTAGGTCTTCCTTTGGGTTGATATTTCATCTGAACTTTCCTATTGATTCCCGAGAAATGTCCATACCTACATCAAAAACTTGTTCAATGAAAACTTCAAAAAGATTCCACACAACTTACATTTCCAAAACCCCTTTCAATTGTTCTAATTTTCCTTGTTTCTCTTCGATTTCCGGATCAGCCTCGTGCTGTTGAATTTCAGCTAGAAGTGATCTAGCTGTATCTAATATTTCTTGAAGTTGTTTTGGTCTTTTCAATTTAACGTGTCCGTGTTTATAACCATCATATTTCTCAAATATTTCGAAAAATCTGGAGGAAAAATTGATAGAATTAAATTTCAACTCTCTACATTTCTATCTCAGACTATTTAAACTACGGGAAACAACTTCTCAATTATCTTCGTGTTTTGTGCAACTTTTTTGAATTTATATTTGTTTTAAAAAGTTTTATGATTTGTGCAATGAAAACGCAATTTGATAGTGACTAAAATTTTCAGTAATTTGATAACTCAGTCTAAATGCACAATGCCACAAAAATATTTTGGATAATTCATTATAAAAACACAATATAACTTACTAAGAGAATGAAAATGGGTTCAAAACCTCACATTCTCAGAGCTTTAGAGTTTCCAATATGTGATGGAATTGGTCAATACTTCAGGCTTGTTCATACTAGTGTATTGTCAGTATGAACACCCTTGTGGTGACTGTGACACAGTCATTGTTTATGAAAACCTACTACATATCCGACTAAATATAAATAATTATACCTATCGTGCAGACATACACCATCATGATACTAGAAATAAATCAGACCTCGTCATGCAAGCAAATAAACTGAAAAGGACTGACAATATTGGCCTTAAGCTATACAATACTCTGCCACTAGACTTTCGCAATTTGTCATTCAATAGATTTAAGTACTTTCTGAAGTTTTTCTTGACTGAAAATCCTCTGTATGATATCAAAGAATTTTATGGAAGTGTCCAATTGAATAGAGATGCCTTCAATGTGGACACCTAAATAATAGATATGTTCCCAGTTGACTAATATGTATTTGTATTGTAATTTAAATCAAATGTTTGTACTGAACTTCTTAAACGATCTTGATATTCTAGATGATTTAGATATAATTTTTCCAACCATATGATTACCATCTAATTCTCAAATTCAATCATGTAATGTAATTTGTTTTAATGAGTATGTTGATTTGTTTTAATGAGTATGTCTTCGTATTTTTGTTTTCTCAATTCATGACCACCATTGATTGTGGAATCTTAAGATGTATATAGCCTGATTTTAATTGCGCCATTTGTTTTGACATGTCTGTAAAGCTTGTGTTTCTCAAGACGAATGAAGATATTATTATAGGATCTTCCAATAGGGACTTCTGAACTTTGACAATTGATAATGGTCATCTAATTACCCGTACGCCGACGAAACGCAAGATCCGCCGAAAACATCGCCGCTGTCTGCGAGAGTGTGCAGGAGAATCCGAGACAGTCGATTTTGCGTCGCTCACAAGAACTCTGCCTTTTGCAGACCACAACTTGTCGAATTTTGTGTCGTGACTTGGGCCTGCACCCGTACAAAATTCAACTGACCCAGGAACTGAAAGTAAACGACCACAGACAACGACGTGTATTCGCTGAATGGGCTCTGGAACATTTGGAAACTGACCCTAATTTTCATTGAAAAATCATCTTCAGCGATGGGGCCCATTTTTGGATGAATGGGTACATGATCGAACGAAATTGTCAATTTTGAGAAGATACCAATGCACACGAGATCCAAGAGCGTCCATACATCTCAAAAAAGTCACTGTTTGGTGTGGATTTGGGGCTGGCGGCGTCATCGGTCCATATTTCTTTAAGAACGACGTTGGCCAGGTCATCTCTGTAAACGGCGAGCACCATAGGTCGATGACTACCAACATCATTTGGCCTGACTTGGATGATCTTTACACCAACGACATCTGGTTTCAACTGGACGGCGATACATGCCACACAGCTCATGCTGTGTGGCTCTCCAATCATTCTCATTGAGAACGTTTGTACGTATTGTCACAATCTATACTTATATAGATTGTTTGGTGTGGATTTCGGACTGGCGGTGTCATCGGTCCATACTTCTTTGAGAACGACGTTGGCCAGGCCATCACTGTCAACAGCGAGTACTATAGGTTGTTAAACCAACTTCCTTTGGCCTGAATTGGATGATCTGGATACCAACGATTTGTGGTTTCAACAGGACGGCGCTACGTGCCACACAGCTCATGCCACATTGGTTATTCTGCATGAGCGATGTGAGGGCATGGTCATTTCACATGGAGGTGATGTGAACTGGCCACCGAGATCGCGCGATTTGACTCTATCAGACTTTTTCTTGTGGGATTTTCCTAAGCGAATAAGCCACAAATCACAGTGGCCCTCAAAGCCAACATAACCCAAACCATCGGTTAAATTCAGCCTCCACCCAGAGAAGCCATGGCGGACTTTTGATCGATGTTATATTTCACACATAATGGCATCAATAGGTCTTTCAAACGAATAAAAAATTTTGATGATATGTCACACACAGTTTTATTTGAATTTGAAGATAAGGAGAGCTTAATGAAATACTCTATATATAGATTTTTCAGTTGCAATGTGAAACTAATTTCATGTTTAAAACAAGAATAATTTCAAATTTTTTTAAAATTTTTTTGGCGATCTAGTGGACTCTGAACTTATTTTTAACAGAAATGTTAAAGAATTCAGGGTTGTATCTAGAGGAGACATTGTATCTATCTTAAAATACCAATGCCCTACCATAAAAAATTCTATCCTGCGAGAGTTTACTGTTGCTCACTCTTATTCAACTCAACCAAATAAGTCCAGCTTCTTAACGAAGCCCATTACATTATCTGGTGCGTGATCTTTCAGGTCACAAACCTGATCTGGTCTGCGCGAAGGAAGACACACAGTATGTGCTCTGCTACCAGTGCCTGAAATTCCCTTGTGAAGAATAATCAACTCCAAAATTGTCAGGCAATAGTAATTTATTTTGATCCAGTGTGGACCCTACCGGCGGTAACTCTATGACTACCTTCGTTAGGTAAGAACACAAGTATGTGTTTGCTGTGACACATTTCAGAGATACACTCTCCCATGGCTACAGAGTCATAACTACACCCAACAGTCAGGAGATGCTCTCCTGAACTGTTGTGGGTAGCCATCCAGGTCAGAACATGCAGTTCAGGAATGGTTCCCAAAGAGACTCAGTTGATGGTCAATATTGCGATTGGATTTTCAAGGTTCAAGATTCCCACTTTATTGACAACTGCAACCTTATCTCATGTGGGTATCTGTAATTCAGCTACGCATGATGATATACTATATTTAGGCTTGTGGGGCATTTCTGTCTTTGGTTTGGCGTGAATCACTGTTTGAGCATAAGCGTTTGCTGACCTGTTCAGGAGGAGTTTGTTTCTACTCCCCTGATGTAGATTTCACTTTTGCTGCTCAAGAATTTGGTGCAACGAAGATTCATAAGGTAGCCTACTCTTGACAAGGTGATAAATCGCCTCCTGGCTATACCACCTAGCCTAGCACCACCTCGGATCTAGAGTTGGGGAACTGAGAAGTTCTTGATACGATGTTACAAGGAGTACAGTTGGGATGGTTCAGCTGTAGAATCATAGTCAAATTCTTTGGTTACTTCATGGTCCATAAAGGATCCCACGAGTAGCTAGGAAAACATGTACCATCACAGCATAACCCCGCATTACCACGACAAGGCGCTAGTGACACTGAAGTGGCTCAGAGTCATACATCCTTTCGGCACAGATACACACGCCTCAAGGCCCCCACAGACGTCGTTCTTTTTCGACAGGATTACCCGACGCGCAAAACTGTTCGAGTATTCCGGTCGGTGTGTGACAAAAAACCGTCATGATTGCCGGCGTTCTAAATTATCTGTTGAAGTGCTAGGGAGACTATTAGTCACGAAGTAGATTTTGAATATCAGTAGTGTGCGTATTCAGTGTATATAAAATGAGTGATTTGAGGCAATGCAGTAAACAATTCATGACGCAATTTATCGAAATGTTCACAAACTTTCCATGTCTCTGGAAACTCAAATCGAGCGAGTATGCTGATAGAGATAAAAAGAATAAGGCGTACGAGGAGATGTTAACCAAGCTAACGGAAATTGATTCATCGGCAACAATAGAATTGGTGAAAATGAAAATTTCAAATCTTCGTAGCTTCTTCCGGTAGCGATAAATCTTAAAGTGGCTGTCACACGTCAATGGGGGGTTATACTTTATCTCATGAGAGTGTCCTCTTTCTTGGTTAAAGGCGTTACTAACCTAAGTAGTTCTAGGTACGTGTCTTCATACATTCTCAGATAATTAAACCAATCAACTGGTTCTAAACGCAATTCTTCCAAAAAATTAACATGAGTAAATTGTTTCCTTTTTAGAAACCACTCTTTTGCCCATTTAGAGCGTTTTTCTTGGCATATTTAACTTTTATTGCTAAAACTGCAGCTAACGCCACTGTCATCTCCATGACAATGACAATACTGAAGGAAAACTGACCCGAGCATTGTGTGAGCGCCACCAAGATTCGTGATTGCCTGAACAATTTTGCACGCCGGGTAATTATGTCGAAAAAGTACGACGTCTGTGGGGGCCTTTAGGATGAGACATAGACATCTCACTCGACAGGGGCATTCTAATGACTTCTGCTGCAGGGGTCAACAATTTCCACTAAGATTGAAAAAATAATTCACTAATATCATAGTTATATTATCATGACATTAAAATGTACCTTCCTATGCTTATGTACTCACTTAGGGTGTCGAACCTCAACTTTCATCTTCTGTTTGGGAGTTCTATCCCCATGTCTGATGACAGCTACAACACACCTCAACTCCATCATTTTTCCGAATGTAGTTGGAACAAAGGGGGGATCATCTAATTGAAAAGGAACAGACCACGGTATATGCAGAGTGGGAGCCAATTCTCTGAGAATCATATTTCCTAATATCCTTGCACAGTCATCGTAGTACTTATTTGAATTCTTAACAAAACTAAAACCATTAACATCACAGACAAAAGATTTGCCATTAGCTCGGAGTAGGTCGAAACCACAAACAGCCTGTTTGAATGCCAAACAGACTTTACGGGATATGAGTTTTTCTGCATTGCTCAAAATCACTGGGTAACGGATCTCTTTACCTTCTCTGTCCCTTTCTACTTTACCATCGAGGGCAGGGGATTTCCTAGCTTCTGCATGGGCATAATCGGGACCAACAGTATAAACCTGAAAACGAAGGGATTTGAAAGTATAAAAAAAATTATTTCTGAAAAACACTAATGTAGTCACCTTAACGTCAGTTCCATCAGTAGGCATGAAGTCTTCATAAATGAAGCTACCAGTTTTCCTGATTCTCGATTCTGGAGAATAAACACTGCTTCTACTGCCAATCTAATCAAAGAATAACGGTTTTAAAGATCGTATAACTACCTCTAATTAACAAAAAAAAACGATATCTCACCTTTCTGAACAGCCTTTGACTACCACCGCCAGCAGAAGTGGGATAATAAATGTAAATATTATGATCTTCAGCTGATACAGGTTTTTCAACAAAAGGTTTATTGAAAACAACTCCATTAACTTCAACATGGTCTTCACATTCAAATAGTTCATGTTCTAAAAAGTTAAAATGAAATGACATGGTATTGCAACAATTTTAAAATTATTTGCACACTCTAAATAAAAGTATAAAAAATTATGACAAAAGTTCACAATATTTTGTTTTAACAAACGTAAATACAACTTATATAATGAAATATGTGAACAAGAAAATCAAATGGTAGTAAATTGTGTCTAATTGTGAATCCATACTCTTTCAGAAATTCATGTTTGAACAAAAAAATGCTCATGAAAAGAGTCGAGTCACGGCATACTTACCTTTAGGATCTAAACTGTCTCTATCCAATACAGCATATCTAGGAATTTCTATCCCCTCAGCATCTAAAGTTGCATATACTTTTCTTCTGTCTTGGATATCATATTGCATATGGAGATTATTTATAACATACGGATTATGTAGCTGGGCATACTGAATTGCTTTGTCTAAGGGAAACCCTTTCGAATGAAATGATATGAGACAATCACAGACAGGCCACTCCTCTACAGGTTTCTACAATTTTAAAAATCAATGAGAACGGCACAAATTCTGTGTTCACCTAAATTCAAAATTAAAAAAAAAAAGAAAGGTAATACTCATCAATACAGTTCATGCGTGTCGCGGTTATTGTAAAACCCTTTATAGTGAAAATCATACAATAAACTGTATTGATGAGTTTCAATATGGATTTTCATCAAGTATCGGCCAGTTATATTCAATTAAGAAAGTAAATAACAATTAAACAGGCTACACTTGTAACATAAGCCCAACGAAATCGACTGCTACGAACAAACTAAATAGTCTTCTTCACAAACATTGAAGATCTCGGCTCATCAAAGCATCTAATCTTTGATATCCCAAGGTCGAGTGGGTTAAAATTGGAAATTGAGGGGTTCATATGGTCTGCTGGTCTGCTAGGATGGTGCCTTCAAGACAGTCTATCGCAGTCACGTGATGAATATAGAGGACCTGAACACCAGGTGCAGATCTTACTGTGAGAAGCCTGAGACCCTAATGTTGGCATGTCCAGCATATGAGGTCTCAGCCTATATCAATCGACTTAATGTGACATTACCATCTTCGTCACTCTTACGTCCTGCAATACTCTATACAGACCAGTCTATTGAAACCATTGTTCTGATTATTGAGTCCTTGAGAAAATGATGCCCCTTCTAGTCTAGAATCTCAAGATCTTTATGCACTAAGGCAGAAATTTTGACAGGACAAATTCTGAAGGCAGTCATTACAGTCTCATGTTGTTTGCTCAGAGCCAGAACTACAGTGAACAATGACTGCATGAGGATTATAATAGTGGTCTGCTAGATTGAAGTGTTCATCAATTTTGAACCTTCGTAAGAGATTAATTGGCACAAATTTTATGTAATTTTAATGCACAATGACTTACATATAAAATAACTTCCTCTTCGAAAACTATAACTTTAATGTACTCAAACTCTTGCAGCCTTGTCAGGATTTCTTTCATGGGTTTGCTCTGTGTTTTCTTTTCCATGGCACACACCCCCACAATAACAACCTTGCCCCCATCGTCGTCCATGTCTTGGGGGCTCGAGCTCAAGTCGCATGGATCGCATATCTCCAAATCCCCCTGAAATGTTGAAACGAAAATATTAGAAATTATAATTTTTTTTTCTTACCAATCTAAAAAATATATTCACAGAGTCACCACAATGATAAAAATGAACGAAAAATGAAAACAACGACTTGTGATACACTATTCAATGTTCTTTTGTATAAACTATAAAGTGCTGCAAAAAATTAGTACAGAAAAGCATGAATTTTAAAAAGAACACACCACCCAAAAACAAGGGTTCAAAAAGTTTTGTAAGGTAAATATATAGACAAAGTGCAGGTTTCGAAGATTTCATTGAACAGGCCATAGTGTAAATAAACAATATTGGTGTTGTGATGATATAAAATATATGTTATAATAGCATAATATCAACTAAAAATGTTTCCGAAAGGTTTCAATAATAACTAAAAAAAAAAAAGTATAAGAAAGTTTCAAATCACCCAATCACAATAGTCACAATCAAATGCTTCTCCAGCAAGACTTCTTGAACCAACGTAAAACATAATTGAGAACTAAATTGAAAATGTTGATAACAACTCCTCCGTTATTCCAAGGTCAGAGGTGATATTATAATGATAAGTTGATTACACCGATTTTAATCACAAGCCATGAACAAATATAAGAGGTGATAATACGCGCCTTGACATAACTTCCAATAGTTTAACTGTCTGATTTCTTCAAACATTCCTAAAAATACGTTTGCTATATCTGTGTTCATAGTTCAATTATGACGGTAAAACCCAAAGTCTTGTGAACAATTCTAGCGACACAAAATATAATTGAAAATCGGTAGTTTAGTTTTAACATAAAATTAGAACAACTGGCGAGAACCATCGAAAATTTGAGGCGTTTTTTTAAATATGTGGATTTATGATAATAAAGCCTGTTGAAAACTATTATGTGCTAATGATCTATACAGTTCTACAAATGATATAATTGGAAACATGTTGTCAAAGAATGCTGATTGGTCCCCCGATATTAAGGTGAGCATTTTTTGTCATGGGTCATTGACATGATGACCTTGAAAACACTACAATTTTTCCCGAGATAAATTTTGCGGGAACTTTTTCAATTTCATTGACAACATTCTGAAATAAAATAATAAGTACCCACTACAAAAACAGTAACTGTTGCAAATATAATTTCAGGCAAATTTTTGCTCTTGGAATGTTCTACAGAGTTAAAAACTGAATCTTGAATTCTCAACGAACTTGAAATATTTTTTTGTTTTATAAAAAACAAAAATAACAATTCATTATTGAACTTCATTGATTTTATATTGGCTGATACACCTTTGATCTCTAAATTCCGTTATTAATTGATTACTAATAACAACACATGACTACTAGTGTTGAAGTGGTTGCCTAGTTGCCAATGTTTTATTCAGAATCACTCAAATATGTTGAAAATATAAATCTAATACAGATTCAGAATTTGACTCGGGTAAGTACTGAGACTTAAATTGTGCTTGCTGCCGATTATTATATTTTAGAAGTGTATCCTCATGAAATTATTTTCTGTAACAACTATAATATTCCTGGGTCATTCAGATTTGATAAAAAACTTACTTTTGACCTAACATAACCTAACACTGTCTATAGAAGATTTATTTCCGTATTGACGAAAATAAGTAGACTACAGATTCTCTTATGCCAAAAGGAATCTTCAAATTGAAAATAACCTATTACAGTTTGAGACGAACCCCAAATGACAGCAATCCTTGAACATCTTGAAAAAGAGGCTAACAGCACCCATTCTCTCCTTTCCACGAGAAATGAGCGGATCTTACAAACCATGGGGTATCGACAAGATAGCAAGTTGCTTACCAAGAGAATAATTAATGAATGAATTCTATAGCATTCATCTATCTGCAGAGAGAGTTCCTATAATGATAACGATAAACATAGTTCATTGATTAAGTCAGATTCAAGCAGTTGAGTTATCCAGGAATGGGCAATGTTGCGAATATACAAAATGTGGCCCTGTCCTTTGAAACAAGAGTGACTCAAGAAAACGAAAGTGATCTAGTGAGAGAGTTGTATTAGTTTTCATAAAAAGGTCCTTTGGTGTAAACACTAATATAAATAAAATATCTTGAAATTTTTGTCTACTCATAATATATCATATCACTAAAACTGTTTTCAATTTCTGTTTATTTTCTGAAAGGCGATTTTTTCTTATATGTATCTGCCAACCATTCAAATAGCATGTTTTTGTTTCTTCAACATTATTACCGACGTTCATGAATAGACTTCTTAAAATTACAACAGTTTTAATCAGTTTGGGAAGAACGAATATAATGAGTTGGGCTATCAAAAGATATTTTCTTCAGTGGCGAATATAAGATTAAATAAACAACAATATAATATGAAAAACATAGATAAAAAACAAAAAGGTATAATTAACAAAGGAAATTTACAAGAAAAAACGGCGAACAATTATTTTAATTTTCTGGGAGATTACAGCCCCACATATGATACTCGCCCGGGGCCTAGCATACTGCTAAGGCCGGCTCTGGCCCCAGCCTGGTTACCGGCGAGAATGGTAGAACTGTACAATATAAATTGTATGGCATCAACTAAGAAAGACTGGTTTTTTTTCTTCCTCAGTTCCATCACATTAATGCAAAAGGACTTTGTTACTTTTTTTAGGATTTTCAACTGTCAATCCCCAGAACATCTTATGTTACAACGCATTACATTACATTCTGTCGCGATCGAGCTAGGGTGTAGGTAACGCTGTTATTGATCACGATCATTGCAAAGAAAATATCCCTAATGCACAGTTGGAAAATTATAGGTACAGTTCCGGCAAATATAAAATAGTAAGAGGAGGAACGTTATAAATGCTACCACCATTAGGTACTAGTTGACGCAAAACCTATATTGACAATATTTCTATTTTTAATGCTGTGTTTGCTGAGAAAAATTACTCGGTCATATTTTTCACAATTTAGAATATCGTTCATCTCATTTATTATCGATAAATCATAGCTTTGATTCGGGTGATTAAATAAACTAGGCCACGCTGGATGATGTCGAATTTCATTACTAACCAATTTGAAAAGTAGTCAAGTCCATGGTATTCGCTCTGAAAGGTGGTATTTGAAAATTATGCAATTTTTGAAGGAAAATTTGAAAAGAAGAACTTTCATAGTAAAAGTTTTTCAACTCGATATTAAAAAAAATATATTTAGTCTACAGATACAACGAACAATTTTATTGATTATAAAAAATGACAAAGATAAACGTCATATTTGTTATAACATAGATGGATTGCCACATAGTATACCGGAGATTAAGAAATGACATGGCTTCAAGAGATCTTGGCTAGGATACCCACTTTTTTAGTGATGGCGCCGAACGAACTAAGAGAAGTGCTTTGTAATAAAATGAGTTTGGAAGAGTTAACGTTCGCTATTCATGTAAAATTGTAACCGGAAGACAAGGCAGATGCTTCAAATATAATAAAAGATTCAACACAATCTCCAACGCGTACAAAGAAAATAGACAAACGCTAACTAGAAGTCACAATAAGCAAAGGAAGCAATTAACACCATTGGAAATGTGTACTGATGAAAAGGATAAACATATAGTGTAATAAAGAAAAAATGAGATAAATAGTTGATGTTCCTGAAGCTCCTAAAGCTGAATTTGGAAACGGCGATTTCGGTAATACGAGCAGAATATTTTTTATGGACGACGCAACGATCCCTGATATAGGACATATGTTCCAGCCTTGTATATAGTATGAAAGTAATTCTGGAAATTACGAGTATACCCAGTTGTCACAAAATAGACACTGAAAAATTCAGATCCTTCTGTTCAACCTCAACTAAACTATATGCTGAACTATCAGGTGGGCTGAAGAGTTCGTAGGCTAACGCACAGATGGCACTACTAGTATTAAATCCAATGATTTTTAGTTAAGCTTAACCTTCATAAGAAACGTGTACACATTTCACAGCTGTCGGACTGTTGGTTTATGGGATAGAAAATTTTGAGTGAAGCAAATTTTATTGGTTTGAAGAAAATGGTTGAAAATTATTATCGTGTGTTAGTTAATAAAGCTTTTCGGCGAAAAAAAAACTGTTGAAGCCAAGGCTTTGCTTGATAAACATTATTCTGACTTTGCACCAGACAAATCAACCGTCGAAAAGTTGGTATGCTAAGTTTAAACAACGTGAAATGAGCACCAAGGACGATACACGCCCCTAGGAGGTTGTTACCGACGAAACATTCGAAACGATTGTCATCTGAGTGGACTGCACGTGGTGAACCGACTCCAAATCGTGGAAATACGCTACAGTCGGTGGGCAAGGTTATGGTATCAGTATTTTGGGGTGCGCATGGTATACTATTCATAGACTATCTTGAAAAGGTAAAAACCATCAACAGTGACTATTACATAGCGTTACTGGAGCGTTTGGCGGACAAAATCACGGAAAACGTAGACCCATTTGAAGAAAATTGGGTTTCGAATTGCTTCCGCATCCACCGTATTCTCCAGACCTAGCCCCCAACGACTTTTTACAGTTCTCAGACCGCAAGAGAATGCTCGCTGGAAAGAAATTTAGTGCCCATGAAGAGATGATCGTCGAAACCGAACCCTATTTTGAGGCGGCAAATCGTACTATAAGAGTACTATAAAAATGGTTTCGATACATTGCATGATCGCTATAATCGTTGTATCGCCCTAGAAGACAACTATATTGAAAACTACAATCAAATTTTAACAATTTTTTTGTATGTTAGTCTACAAACTTTTCAGCTCAACTGTTTTATTCTTACTGGCACTTACTTTCCACAAAATATTATTGCAAGGATCTGCCACTATTGAAAAAAAATCGGTTACCCATAGGCACGATGTCGGAAGAGGCTACTGACGCTCGCGATGGAGTTTAGGTGAGGGGCTTGTAATCGCGATGTGGGAAAAATTTAAGCTCTCAATCCGTAATAACTGGCACATCTATTTCACCGAAAAAAAGGAAACATTTCCTGAACAGAAACTCTCGTAATGCTTTTGATGGCTAAGATACAGAGTTGAGTAGATTCACTCCATAATGACGACCCTATATAGATGAGTCTTCAGATTAACCGTGTTTGTCGTCATTGAAAGAATATTAATAATGATATCCTGTTCTAATACTGTAACGAATCTAAAGCCGCCCCTGACCGACATGCCGGCTGACTCTCCGAACAAACACATGACATCACCGCGAAAGAATGTAGTCGTGAATCGCCGGTAATTTTCTAAGTACCGAACCGACTACAGAATTCTAGAAAGTACCGTTAACGATATAAGCACGTCTTCCCGACCCAAGAGGGCAGTTCACAAAGTGACTCGAGCGGCTAAACAAGAAACTCAAATAGTGGAAATAAATTAAGTGTTAGTGGCTAAGTGTTGTAAATAAATTAGTTTGTGATTAGTGAAATATTGTTGGAAATAAATTTGTTCAAGACAGTTAATTCTTTAATTTGTCACAATACAATAAATAAACAAAAATACGTTTTCGCTTGAATCGTGAAATAAATGAATTTTTTATATATTTTACAGCTATATTAGTTTCGATAGAGTTATTCACACATTTGTCCCTTCCCACCACTATAAAATTTATTATGATACTGTGCCAAACTCCTAATATTGAAAATTGTGGTAATAATGAATTTGTTGTTAACCAAATATGAGAATGACCCAGTGCCGAACAATGCATAATCAAGAATTAAATAAGAATAATATCAAGAATTAATAACTTCATAACCGTACTACCAAGTAACTCAATATAATAAGACAATTCGCGGTCTGAAAAAAAAACAATCATACAGTTGTAAATCATGCCCGACAATAACGCCGACCGCCACTGGTAACCATAAACCAAACGTGACGTAGCTAAGAGCGCGTGAATGTACGATGATTCCCCGCCACTCTAGAAGCAGCGAGAATAAAGCTACCGATTTCGTCGGAACTTTGGCAAAATTTCTAC